TGGGTCTGGTGACTTGTCCTCTTGAAAACTTTTTGTTCTCGCAGAGGATCCAGGGTCGAGTCTCAGTACCCATATGGCAACTCACAATTGTCCGTAACTCTAGTCCTAAGGGACCCAATGCCCCTTTCGAACTTCCAAGGGCACCAGACATGCACATGGTGCACAGACATGCATGTGAGCAAAATGCTCACACACATTACAAAAATAACCAGCCCCTCCACAAGCTGGTTCCTGCTTCCTCCACCAGCCAGGCAGTATACTCAGCCCAAACAAAGGACAGCATTAACTAGCTCTCTAAAAACACCAGGAAATCCTCAACCCTATAACTGGTCACAGCATTTCTTCGAATCCTGATGTGCTCTCTCAATTCTACAAATCCAAATTTAATCAGCTCAAATGCCTTCCCCATCGAGTCTTCCCAGGAGCCTCAACTCAAAATCCTCATTACCTCCTGTCACTCTTTTTGTTTTTACACAAGCATTTGAAAGGTTTTTCTTATAGCCATTCCTCATCTCCTCAGATAAATTGTCTATTCCTTACAGCAAATACAGTGATTTCAATTCTTCCCGGCTTCTTGGCACAGGGAAAGATCTTGAGTAAATAGTATACAGCAATAGCACAGTATAAAGTTAAGAACACAGATAATGACAGAATAGTTAATTCTGAATTTTAACTTGGCTATTCATTAGTTGTGTGTGCTTGAATAAACTACTTAACCTATGTTCCTGTATATTTATGTATGCATGGAGACTAACAGTACCTATTTCATAGGCAGCCAGAGGATGGGCTTACAAGAGTATAAAATTATAAAAGCACCCACTAGATAACAACAACAACAACAACAAATCACTTCTTAGGGTAGCAAACTGCTGAATATTTTGTGATAGTTATGTAAAGCTTCACTATGAAGGCAAAGTAAAAAAAAAAATCAAACATAAAGCCAAAGTTTAAGTAAAAATGAGTATATGCAAATTCTTCCTAAATCACCTTATAGGTGGCCCAGGGATTGGCTGTGACTTTGGAAGACAATTTTTGCTATATTTATTTGTTTGGTGTATGTTTGTGCTTGTCGATGCTATGGTGCACATGTGACTGTCAGAGGACAATGGGAGTCACTTCTCTCTTTCCATCATGTGGGTCCCAGGAATCAAACTCAGGTGACAGTGCCTTTATCCAGTGAACCATCTCCCTGCATCCAGCTGTGACTTTAATAGTGTACCTTATATTTTGAGAGTTTACATTTCCTATGGTAAACAGCCACCTGAACTGGTGCCCCCCCACCTCAGCTTTCCTCCCATTTGCTAATATCTTTCTAAACAGCAAATGTAATATTTTCCCACTGCTACAAAACCCTCCATTTTATCCCTTCGGTTAAACCTCTTTGGATCGCATACAAAGTCGTCTTAATCCTCCATGCCCAGTCTCCAGCTTCATCCCCAAAGCTCATCAGAAACCTGAAACAGTCAGTCACATCTCAAAGGTATTTTTTGTACACCATGCCCTTTGCCTCCAACACCTGTTTGTTATTTGCTGGGGCTGCAAGGACAAAATACCACAGACTGGGCAAGTTAAATAACAAATTTATCTTCTCTTAGTTGGGGAGCTGCAAATCCAAAATGAAGGTATTGGAGGGTTTGGTTTCTCCTGAGGCCTCTCTTCTTGGCCTTCTTGGTAATTTTACATGCTACACAGGTGTATCTTATTTTTTTTTCTTCTTCTAAGCATACCTGTCAGATTGCATTAGATTCTCTTTTATGGTCTCATTTCAACTTAATCACCTCAGAAATCCTATGCAAACATGGATACATTCTGGGGCAATGAAAGTTAGGTAGGGCCATCACATAAAAACTCTGAGGGACATAATTGAGCCCATTACAGGTCCTACCCCTTCTCTCTGCCCAAGCTAACTCCCATCTGTTTTTCCAAGACTGTCCCACGTCTTCCCCTCCTGCCCTCTATCTGTTCCCAGTCTCTGTACACAACGGCTGTCATATTGCTCAATACACTAACACAACTCTCCCTTCTCTTCTCCACGATACATTCCTTAACAGTGAAGATTTATCCTTATCATCTAGGACAGCGACTTATAAAAAACATTTAATAAAAACTTGATGAGAAGTAGAGGGGAGAACACAGACCTTGAAGTAAAAGTTATCTGTAGGTTTAAATTCTGACTCCATTGTTTCCCCATGAAGGTAGGAAAATCACTTAATGTTGACTTTCCACTCTAAATAAAGTAGTTGTAATAATGAAAAATTGAATTTCAATAAAATGACTCAGCCATGGCTTTGTTACTCAGTTAAGTGCTTAGATGTTGAAGTAAAAAGGTTTGATCATGGCTGGTTTGACAGCTACTTCTACCATTCGGTAATTAAAGGATTTGGGGTATGTTTACTATTCTTCTGCTTTAGTTGTCTATCTGTTAAAAATGAAAACCCTGATGGTGCTATTGTGATAATGATTACTAGGTAAAAGATTCAGTTGGGTTGCAGGACATTTTATTATTTCTATGTTTCCTATTATTGCTATTATAAGAACACTGCAGGTCTCAACAGATATGATTGGATGCTCAATGTAACTATCACTTCAATGTCTCAGGTTTCTTTCCAATTAAATATAATAATTTAATGAGGTTAAAACACTGGCACAGGGCCAATAAGGCGGCTGAGAAATAAAGGTGCATGCATATCCCCAACACTGACAACCTGAGTTTGATCCGGTACTCACATGATAGAAAGAGAAAACTGAACCATACAAGTTGTCTTCTGCATTCATGCATGAATGATCCAGGCACACATACACAGCAATAAGTAAATAAGTAAATAAATGTAATTTTAAAAGTTAGTTGTGTGTGTGGTAGCACACAACTTTAATTTCAGCAATCAATGAGGCAGAGATGGGCAGATCTCTATGAGTTCCAGGACAGCCAGGCTTACAAAGTGAAAGTGTCTCAAAAACAAAACAAAACAAAACAAAATACCAATAACAGCAAATCGAATACAAAGAAGAGAACCAGATGCAGATGAGATGAAAATGAGCGTGCCCTCAGTGCTACTACCTCACATCCCTTAGGTGGGCTTTAAGGTAGTATTTTGGGCAGTGAGGTACAAACAGGCAAGTTTTCCTAGTCTCTCTGCCTATGGATGCTAAGCATTCACAGGGTACAATAACACTCCTTTGTGACTATGGATGTTAAGCATTCACAGTGGAGAGTAATAATCATAGAACCATAAGACCTGTGAGCCAGAAAAGACCTTTGTGGTACATACCCAATCCTATCTTTTCTTTTCTTTTCTTTTTTTTAACATAAGTACATCCAGGTGAATTTGGAATGAGCCCTTAGTGTCTTAATGAGCAGTTCTATGAGGGATGAAACTAGCAGACAGAGTGTACAATTTGTTCAGAGTACTAAAGTAGGGGTTATGGATTTATCCATATCCAAGGTATGATGGAACTAGTACTAGGAAACAACACACAAAAAAATTCTTTTTAACCATCAGCCTTTAGTGTAAAAGATACCTGATCCATAACTTTGGAGCAGAGCAGGTCTAGACTTAAATTCCCACTTGTTACATCAAGTCTTTTGAGCCTCACATTATAAGCAACTGGCTTGTTAAAGTGGTTAAGTGAACCATGTACATACAACCCTGAACTTCGGTGTCCGGCAGATTTCAAGTATTCAGATGTTGGTTCTTCCCTTCTTCCATCACATAAATAAAAATGTGTAAGATCAAAAGCACCATCTTCTACATAGCTATCTATGTATGTGAGGGTTAAATGTCTGAGACTTGTTGGATACTACTTAATTTTAAAAATAGAAAGTTGGATAGTTGCTGAGATGATAAAGTGTTTTTAATTTTGCCCTTCCCATCACCAAGTGTCCTTCACAATTTGTTTTCAAGTGTCATGTCACCACCATTAATGTGCTATTTGGAGATCACTGTAGCTCAGACTTTCAATAGAACAGCAAAGATCTGAAGGTCACATTTTTTTTTCAATTCTTTTTTATTTTTTTACCAAGGTAGAGCAAGAACTCTGAGTCCAGTTCATTATGTTCCGTGGTCGATAGGTGAATTTCCAATGAAAAACTACTATCTTTCCTGATGCAGGAAAATGTGCATAAGCAGGTATCTGACTTCACTACCATAATTGTGATTTGTTTTTAAAGTGTTCAGGACTCAAATGTGCTGGCACCAAAAAGGACACCTGCCATTCTTACGGCTTCAACCTAAAGTCTACCCTTTTTTCTTTTAAAAGACATGTGGCGTCTGACTCCAAATCAATTGCAAAGAAAAGCCCAACACAGAAAGCTCTTTCTAGCTCCTCTCCTCCTGTTTACATCACAGATGGCCACCGAGAGCTTAAGGTTTAACGTCCAGACACTAAAGCCACTCATCCTAAAACGACGGAGCTCCAGATGGATGCTGTCTGGCAGAGGATGGGAAGCTGCCAATCTTCAGAGGTGCTGATGGGGTGAATCCGGAGGCTAGAGCCCAGCTCCCATCGTTTTGCACCTACACTTTGGAAACATCCCTTACCCATCTCGGGGAGGAGGTACTCCAGGGACTGACCTCCGGGGACCCGAGGGACCCAGGACAGGAAGACTCCCTCTGCCTTCGGGAGAAGTTGACAAGGGCAAGTTGGAGTCGCGCGCGGGAGGTTACTCACGGGAATGGCTCGGCGTCCTCGCTCCTCCGCCCGCGCTCGCTCAAGAAGCCCCTAAAGCCGCGGTAGCCTGAGGGCAGCAGCCGCAGCTGCCGCCGCCGCAGCTAACCACCCGGGCGTGGCAGGGACTGGCAGGCGAGTTCACATCATCACTCGGCGACCTTGGATCTGCAGCGACGCCCGGTCAATGGCAGCTCCCACCCAGCGAGGGAAGCTAAGAGACCCACTTTCCCAGCAGTCTTCGCGACTGTAGCGCGCGGCCCGCTGGGAGCTGTAGTTTTCTTTCAGTCCCGCCTACAGAACGAAGGCCCCACCTCCCCACCGAGGTGGAAGCTGGAGGCGCGGCGGGGCGGAGCGACGGGCCCCGAGCCCGCCGGGGTGGGGCGATCCCGTCCCGGCCAGTTGCCCCGGGTTGGGGCAGAGGTCCAGGCCAACGGTCCTTGTCGTAGCCGTGCTGCACTTCTGCACCCTGAGGCCCGCGCTGGAAGCGGGCCTAGTGTTGTTGCCTCACCCCTCCTCGAGGCAGGTCCCGGGGCTCGCACGCGTCTCATCCCCTCAGCGCCCGCCGCCTGGAGTCACCGGCCTTGGTCTCAGCCCGGGTAATGAGGGGAGGCAGGCGGGCAGGGGACGGTGCGGGCACCCGGGGGTTGGGGGGCCAGGGAACACAGCTTGCTAGGTGCACAGCGGAAGCCTTACAGGCCAGTCTCGCCTCCGCGCCTCACCCGTGCTGGAGCGACCGGCCGAGGAGTGGCCGCAGTCTGCGGGAGCCCGCGCCGCGCGTGCCAGCGCACTGGGGCCGAGGTGCCCGATTGCCCAGCGGCGGTGCCAGGTGCAGGAGCCCAGCCGCCGTGCTCCCGACCCCTGGTTCTTACCTTTGGTGGTGCACACAGACCTGGCGACTTCCCAAGCCAAAGACACCCGCTGGCCCCAGCCTTGTCTGCAAGGAGACTTCGAAGGGACCTTTCCCAAGATTAAATGCCCAGGCGTCGTTTTGTCTTAAGTATTTACATTTGGTGTTGCCTTTACCCCTCGTGGGTTTGTTGTGTCAAATATCTTTCCTCCAAACCTGATCACAATTTGTGACAGTACCTACATAGCACAGTGTTCGGCACTCCGTAAATATTTGTTGAAAGCGTGAGTCATGATACTAAGTTTGGAAAATTCTACTGAGCTGTGTGCATCGCTATGATCTTTGTTAAGGTTTTATGAGATCGCAAGATCACCTTGGGAATTAGAATAATTGTGAAGCCTAACAAAGAAGAGAATTGGTAGGTTGTTTTGTTTTGTTAGCATTTCCTGAAACAGTAGAAGGTTGAATGCCTAGATTAACTCAACCCAAGTCCTAGAAGTACATAGGCCCGTTGGGATCCACCTAAAATGTTAACCTTTGAAATGAAAGGCTATGGTTATGCACGTCTATGTTATGGAGCAAATTAGATTATTTATAAGGCTTTATTGTAATAGCTTTTTAGGTAGAACTGTAAAGGGCTGCACTGAGGTACTCATCTATGCATTTGGGAATGCAGGCCACACACACACTTTAAAGATAGGGTCTCACTATTAGGTAGTTCTGGCTGGCCTGGATCTCACAAAGATCTACCTGATTCTGTCCATGTTCCTAGAATGCTGGAATTAAAGGCATGTTCCATAAAGACTCAGCAAGCGTTTCTTTTTCCTTTTCCTTCCTTCCTTCCTTCTTTCTTTCTTGCATTTAAAATCAGTGTAATAGTGAAATCTTTTACTCCATTCATTTGTTGGGTACAACTGCTGCCTTGATCTCGAAATTTCTTGAAAAATTAACTGTTAAAAGTGTAGTGTATCCAAGGCGAAAACTTCTGAGATTAAACCACCCCACTGAAGCAATCGTTTTGGTGGTAACAGGTTTTTTTTGTTTGTTGGTTTGTTTTGTTTTGTTTTTGTTTTTCGAGACAGGGTTTCTCTGTGTAGCTTTGGAGCCTATCCTGGCACTTGCTCTGGAGACCAGACCTACCTCTGCCTCCGGATTGCTGGGATTAAAGGCCACCAACGCCAGGCCAGTTCTAGCAGATTTTGACCTGCATTATTTTCCCAATTTGTTTTGATGTTTAAAGCAGCAAACTCAGTAACAACTTGCTGATACTAAGTTTGTTTATTGTTTGTTTTGTTTTAGAGACAGGGTTTCACTAAGTAGCTTTGGCTGTCCTGGAACTAGCTCTGTAGATCAGACTGTCTTTGAAGTCAGAGATCTTCCTGCCACTGCCTCCTCATGGCCTGGCACCACCTGGCTGACACTGTCTTTTGCATAAATAGAGTGTATATAAAATGTAATACACGTTCATTTGATCTCTGCCATCCTGAAGGGGTAGGCTGCACAGGAATAGCTTTCTTCGCCTCCCCAACTCCCCACTGCCTTAAATTGACAGAATTGCTTGGCTGGTGACAAAAATCTTAAATTTTTTGGTCCTTCTTCCCCATTCTCTACCTTTGGCGTATAGTGGATGCCCTGAGAAAAATCCACTTTTTCCCTCAGCAATAAAATTGGATAAAACTTTATAACCTTTATGGTCTAAAAACCTTCCTTTTCCCATTTATGGTCTAAAAACCTTCCTTTTCTCATTTTGCTTAGCTATTTGTTGATGCCTTGATCAAATTGGGGTCTGACTAACGTAATGAAACCCAGTTTCAAGAGATGATGTTTAGAAGGGAATACCTGCCAATACAAATATTGCCCTCACTGTTGGAGAAGACCCAGAAGATCTTGGTGGTGGTTTTGTAGCCCCTTGAATCTGAAGAAGTTACCATGCTAACATTCTGACTCTTAATGAAAATGGACAGGAGTTGTTTGCATAATAATATGTATAACTTTGTGTCTGTCAACACATTCTAAGTTGAATGCAGTTGAGAACTAAAAATCAAGGTGAAAAAGATTCGACCTATGAAAATGTTTTTTTTTTTATATGAAAACTTCGTCTTTTTTAAACATGTGGCAATAAGAACTTATTCATTTTAGCCCGTTACAAATCCTGTTTCAGATTTGTGAACCCTGGGCACCAAATAACTTAGTAGGTGCTTAGTCAGCAGTCTTTGAAGATCTCAGTTTACTTGAAAATGGAATGGTTAGATTCCTAGGATTTATTTGTAAGTGGCACCACTTATAGAAAGAGGGTCCAAAACTGCTTCTCTATATTGCCTTCTTATTTGTTCAGGGCAGAAAAAGACAGGAGAGCTGCAGTGTCTTAAGGCTTTGGAGATAGAAAGAAAGTCGCTTTAGCTTTCTGCCCTTTGGGAGCCATGTCAGAACAGTGCTTATTAAAGATGCCTCAGGGTGTCACTAGTCCTTGTGTCAATGAGCAGCTGCCCAAATCTTTAAGGAGTTTATATAAATCTAAATAATTTTGCTTTTGTTTTTATAGTGGGATATATCTGCAACTTGAAGATAAAGCAAAAATCTTCTTTGAAATAGATGGAATTTTGTCACTTTCTGTGAACTAAAGCGATTCAATGTCTCTTTTGGTAAGTTTTGTCATAATTTTATACTACTATTGAAGTAGTTAGATCTGGAATAAAAGACATTCAAGCTTAAGCTCTGGGATGGATCTGAATGGCATGTGTTCTTGAGGATGATATAAACTCTCAATGAGTTTTGTCGTTTTCAAAAATAGTTGCTCCTATACTTCCTTTTAAAATACACCCATTATTATTTGTCCCAAACTGATTTTTCTCATGTATTTTTCTTAGAGTCCAATGTATCTAGTAAGCTATGCATTTTCTTTTAAAACTCCCCAAAATCCCTTTTATAAATTTCCATGTGCCCCAAGGCAGGTAAGTTAGCATTTAAAATAAACCTTTGACTTAATCAGACAAAATAATTGAATCATTGCATCATGTTAGCTACAGATGGAATATATTTGTTTGTATATTAGATACAAGACATCTGCTTTAGATTAAGTAGCTTGGGGACTTTCTGTCAGTATAATATGGTATTTGAAAAAAGGGTTTTGATATTAAGACAGTGAACTTGCTCGGAGCTTGGCAGGACAGGCAGCAGCATCCTCATTTGAGTTTGCTCATGACTGCCAAAAATTGGAGCCAGGGTTCAGACTCATGCTTGCCATCCTACTGAAGTAGCCAGGCTGGGAGATAGTTCTATGAAGTTAGGAGACTATAGTTGCTTTATATGGAAAATATAGAACACATTCGTGTGTGTTTGGAAAATTGAAATGCTTCATTCTTTAAAGCAGGGTCAGCAGATACTTTCTGTAAAGGCCAGAAGATGTTAACATGCTGCTGCTTTTCTGCCTGGCAGCTCAAAAGCAGTCATCAGCAACATGGAAGAGAAAAACTAAAGATCTGAACACATACTAGCCATCGTTTGTTGACCCCTACCCTAAAGGAATTTTAAAATTTACAGTTTTACATCAGTGAGAAAAGATGTGTGATGCCCTTTTCCTTAGTCCCTTCATCTGAGTGAAGATTCTGAGATTCAGAGTGCTAAAGTCAATGTAATATAATTAGTAGATTGGCCTGGCTGAAAAACACTAGTTTGATTGTTGAGAAATTTTGGTATATCCAAAAAGGAAGGAATTTGGTTACTTTTAAGGAACTGACAATATACAGCTTTAGTAGACTCGGGTGAACTCTGAGGCTCATTTGAACTGTGTTTGAGTGCTCATGGATGTGAGTGTTGATAAGGTGCTGGAAATCATGTATTATAAAAGTCCCATGCTTATTTTTTCCTTTTGACCTTTTTTCTTCCTGAATAGATTAGTATTGTTCTACTAATTGCTGATAGGATAGACAGCATGTAGATAATACATTTCATTATAGATAATACCTGATAGTAGAACCATGAGTCGATATTCAGAAAAGTGTAAATTTTGGTAATAGAAGCAAGTTTCTTAATTTGCTTTGAGTTGAACATGTTGGTCACCTTAAGAAACAGAATTGGTTACAAATATATTCAATGTGTTTGTAATTAAGTAAATGGTTTAGTGTAGGAAAACATGGTTCCTACATTCAGGAAAACAATCTGAGGAAAAAGTAAAAATAGTGGCTACAGCAGACTAATTTTTAGCTAAATATTCAGACGATAATTTTTAACCAGATATTCAGGAATTTGGCACATTTCTGGGGTGCTGAAAGACTGAGAGGGCAAGACCAACAGTTAAAGTAGATTCATAATCTCAAGTGAAGGCAAGGAGTGGAGATGGCACTAAGCATGGCATAGCAGAGTGACATCAGCCTCCTGTGCACCTGGCCACTCTCTGTCTCACCCACGAGTACCTCCATCTGGGCTTACAGCCCTGTTACCAGGTCTTTTTGTATACACAAGCCAATGCCATGTATGTGCTGTGCTTTTCACTTACCTAATGCATCTCTAACTTCCAGGATTGTTTCTGTGCTTCACGAACACGAGTTGAATCACTCAGACCTGAAAAACAGTCTGAAATCAGTGTCCATCAATACCTGGTAAGAAAATGGTTGACACAGCTAATGCTGCTCCTGTGCCTTCTGCAATGCTCTCCATCCTTATCCTCTGCTTATCACTCTTTCCTCTTCTTCCTACTGCTCTCCAAGAGTCTGCAACTGATCTCTTCTTGACCCGCTCTCTGTGAGCAGTGACATCTATTCCTGGGTTTTCGTTGCTGAGTTTCACAAGATCCTAGAGCTATCTCAGTGTTCTAAGAGAACCATGGCGATTACCAGACTTTCTCTTTCCTGGGGCCTGGGATTGTCTACAGAATATATCCTAGGATTTTTCTCCAGGGTTTCTACTGATTTGAGTGAAACTTTAGTCTGCTTCTCACTTTGGCTAATGAAAGTCTGACTATTAGTTATGCATACTAGAAACTCTGGAGTTCTTCTCACACTGCCTGTGCCCCTCCCCTCAGGAGCAGGAGCACTACTACTCAGTCTCATTTCCTGCCTGGCCTGTGGGGTATAGATCATTGCCTGTAGTCTGTATACACATGTGACCTCTCCCACAGTGCTTACACCAACCTTCAGTACTGTTCCAAAACATATGCTTATGCCATTTTGAAGCCAATGGGATAAAGCCCAGATTTCTTAGCATGTATATAGAGACTGTCAATGATGTGGTATGGTATATGACCAGTTTTTGAGTCTCCTTTCTTACTGGGTATATTCTCTTTTCTCTGTTTGAAATACCCTTGCTTCTGCCTTCCCCTGAAATTTCTCCTCATCCATAAAGAGTTGTTTCAAATATCATATCTTTAAACTCTTCTCCCTTAGATCCTTTTATTTCATTGTGCAGTCACCTGTCTGTGGCACTTTCATCGAATAGTTGTTACTATTTTGTCTTACAGTGATTGAGGCTGTGTCTCTTCAACAATAACGTGATCCCTTTGTAAGGGGCATTCTTGTCTTACTCACCCTAAGCAGTGTATGACATATTAAGTAATCCTTAAAGAGACATACTTGGTAATGTGTCTGTGAAATCTTTACTCCGCTTAATCCTTAATTTATACAACAATTTTTACTATGCAGTGAAACCTGCTTTGAAAATTTGTTACAACATGAAATAGTTGCAGTTATTTTTGCTTATAATTTTTCTCAGGACTTACTTTAACCATTGCCATTTTTATTCACCATTCTATCTTCAAGATATCTACTTTTGTGTATGGTAGAGGTGGCACCCTTACTACCGTTCAGACTGAGGTAACTTAGTCAAATGACTCATATCCATACTGGTATCCTTCTACCCTCTAGGTTGGAGCCCTTTTATATTTTAAGTTAGACAGAAATCTTAACTAAGGCAAGCTGAGGTGCAATTTTGGTATGGGAAAGCAAAACTGGAGAAGTTCTGTAATGTAAATTGAGCCCCGCTGAAAACTGGTGCCCAGTGATTGGCAAAGGCTTCCTGGGTTCTCCACAGTCACTGTTGAAGAACACGATTAGAGCTGTCTTCTGTTTGGTGACTGGTAGCATTTTGTCAGCCTGGATAAAATGTCAGATTCAAAAGATACAGATCTAATTACCTTGACATCTGACATTTGTCTCCCATTATACATTATAAAACCCCTAATTATGACTTTTTTTCATGACACTTTAGCCTGATGGTGCTAAAGATATATTCATCTAAACAGCATGGCTAGTAAGAATACACCCTAGGTTTGCTGACTAAATCCAGTTTCTGACTCTGAGATAAAGAACAGACCTCACTACATGGTTTAAAAACCAAACTGGTGAACAGTCTTTGTTAGTCCCACCAATTGAGGATAAGACCACTACCACAGTTTAAAGCCAAATTTGAAGCAAGCTTTAATTAAATACTGGTCAGGTGGATGGGCTCTGGCTAAGTCCATACACCCAGGTTCCCAGGAAATGGCCCCAAATCAAGGTTTACATCGGCTTAAGTATTTTTTATCAGGTCTAGTCGGGCAAGTATATATCCTGACTTACCTCCAGTCTACATCCAATCACGGGCAAGCACACATCTTGACATATTTCCTGCCTGTGAACCTCCCACCCACATGATTAAGCACATCTGGTGCAGATGGGTCAAAAAAACTTGTTTAGGGGAGTGAAAAGTATGTGGCTTATTATCGCCCATTAACAGTAGCCTCAGGCATTTCAGGAACTACTATCTGTCCTTGGGCAACGGGCTTGCAGATCAGAGACATTTTTGTTTCATAGATCTCTTAGGCATAATAATTAAAACTTAACATATAACTTTGGCTCTCACATTTTCTGTCAAGTATTTTTAGAGATCTAGCAGATTTTTCTTCTTTTTTTTTTTTATTTATTTTGCTTGCTTGCTTGGTTTGGTTTGGTTTTTCAAGTCAGGGTTTCTTTGTGTAGCCTTGGCTGCTTTGAAACTCACTCTGTAGATCAGGCTGGCCTTGCCTCTGCCTCCCAGGTGCTGGGATTAAAGGTGTGTGCCACCCAGCTCGGAGTTTTCTTCTTACATTAAGCCTTTTGCATCTTCAGGAAGTCATCAAAGAACCTACTGGAATGAAGATAGTTGTGGTTTGAATTTGAAATATCCCATTAGGTTTATGTGTTTGAACACTTGGTCCTCAACTGGTGGTACTGTTTGGGACCTTTATAGGAGGTAGAGCCCTGAGGAAGAAATATATTACTGGGGGTGGGCCTTGAGGTTTTATGGCTTGGTCTCACTTCCTGCTCTCCCTCTGCTTCCTGACCTTTGATGCAATGTGATGAGCAGGCCTCCTGATTCTCCAGCCCCACTTTTGCTGTCATGATGGACTATCACTTTGGAACTGTAAGCCAAAGTAAACCCTCTCTTCCCAAATTTGCTTTTGTATTTTATCACAGCAACGGATGAACTAGGACCAGGAGCCTGCCATGATTTTGCTTCTTAGTTCTCTGGTCATTGTGTCACTAAAAGAAGTGAGGTTAGTTTGAGATGATTCAGTGTCTATAAACCCATGCTGTCTTCTTGTGATTACCAGGACTTTTTCTTCAGGGCTAATATTTCACCTGTTAGTTTGATCTCAGCCTCTTCTGGGCAGAAGCATCAAACTTGCCACTTTACAGTGTTCTACTTTTTGAAATTTGGATCTGTTGCCAGGTATGGTGGCTCATGTCTGTACTCCTAACAGTTGAAAGATGAGACAGGAGGATTGCCGCAGGTTCAAACACAGCCTGGGCTAGGGAGTGAGACCTTTCCTTCAAAATAAAAACAAAAAAACGAAAGAAAGAAAAGAAGGAAAGAAAATCAAAGCAAGAGAAAGAAAGCTGGATAAGGGTGGTAAGTATAGTTGTTCTTGGGTGAGGGCTTGGTAGTTCAGTATGTACTCATAGCAATACAGAGAGTGGGGCAGGAGGAGTGTAAGTTCAAGGTCAGTTTAGGCTACAGAACTAGACCCTTTCTCAAACACAAACAGAAAGACCCTCAGCTTTTGACTAATTGCCTATAACATCTGTACTCTGCCTTGCTTTTAAGAAGACTGTTTCCCTAATGTAATAGATGGAGGGGATTAGAGGCAGTGTGTTAGCTGATTTCAGCCCATCATGTAGTAACATGATGTCATTTTTCTTTCTTTTAAAAAAATTATTTTATTTTATGTGTATGGATGTTTAGCCTGCATGTATATCTGTGTAAAACATATGTGAAGTTCCTGTAGAGCCTAGAAGAGAGCATTGGAGCCCCTGAAACTGGAGTTACATGCAGTAGTGAGCTACCATGTGTATGTATTGTGTATCAACCTTGGATCCTCTGGAAGAGTAGCCAGTGCTCTTAACCACTGAGCCGTCTCTCTGCCCCATGCCATTTTTTTAAATTATGAAAATAAACCTTGGTGCTTTGTGTCTCTAGCCTTCCTAACAGACTTACAGATTGATGGCATGTTAAGTTTAAGACATTGTTATACATTCTTCTCTTTCTTGTGTGTTCTCTTTACACTTTTTATCTGAGTGCTTCCTGTTCTAAAGAAACCAAATTGACTCCTGGCATTACCCACCCCCACACCGGGCTTATTTTCACTGATATGCTAGAATTCCTTTCCTACTCTTTGATTCTTCTTGGATATTATCCATAAATAGTGTTAACAGTCTGCTTCACACTCTACGTATTTCTCCTGATTAAAGAGTTGGGTATGAAAAGGAGTTAGCACGATTCCTAACACATAGTAATGTTGTTTCCCCTTCTCGCCTCATTGAAGGCAGTAACAAGATTCTTGCCACCTGCTAGTTCCTGTAAAGGCTTCTAAGTATCCTTTGGAGTCCTGGTGTTCTTTAGGAGATCCATTGCTGTCATATTATGCCAGCCAGTTAGGCCTCCTCTTTCTGCTTGGTGTGTGATATTTCACTGACTATATTTAGATCCAAACTTGACTCTAGCTCCAAATCACCCATGAGACCAGACCTCATTGCTATGCAGTCAGGAGGCCTGTGCCCTGAGCTCTCATCTCCTTGGCCTTATTTTTCTTTTGACCTTCCTCTTCATTTCATCATATGAAAGACTTCTTTGATTATTTTAGTGGAAGTTGTTCTTGACTGTTAACACAGAGCATAAACCTCAGGCTGAAAGCAAGAACATAAGCCTGGAATGTCCCTCACAGTTCCTCCCTTAAGCACTTTACAATTATCACACATTCTTAGACCCATCTACAAGTTTTACTGAAAATTGAGATGCAAAGTATTTCTTGCTCTTTGTAAATCTGCTTTTCTTGCCTTTCGCTTTTCAGGCTAAAATCTCTTTGACATCAATTAGCAAGTGATAGATTCCTTGTAGATATTAAAACAATCTCTTCAGCCACTTTCCAGTATCTTCCTGATGACTATAAATATATTCTGTTGGGATAAGGAGACCAAACTGGGGGACTAATGATATTTATCCTATTTTATTTTCATACAAAAAAAAATGCAGGTTGATGAGACAGCCGTTTCCTCCTGGTCACCTCCATCAGCTGGAGCCAGTGAAGTGATATGTTCCACTAATGTTTCTCACTATGAACTGCAAGTGGAAATAGGTAATGATCCTGGATTTCACATCATTGCCTCTTCACTGCTAGTAATGAAGTTGATGGCACAAAGATTATTTTATAGGCATGGCTTTCTTTGTTGTCACTTCCAGTATAAAACTGGATTTTTAACTGGGTCTGCTAGATGAATCTAATACATTTTATGTATGTCTAAAAATAATTTCATATTTTAAGACCTCTGTCTAGTTTTACTTTTCCATTGGGGGGGAAGATGATTCTTTTTTTTTTTTTTTTTTTTAGAAAAAAAGAGGACCTTAGATAATCTTAAGTACTTATTCCTATCATTTTTTTAGGAAGTCTCTAATTTTATGGGTTTAATTTTTACAGCGTAGAAATTTAAACCAAGTCAAATAAGTCTTTTAAGTCATGACACTTAACCTAAATGACTTGCTAATTTATATTTTTAATAATTTCATATAATTTATGTTTTCATCCAAATTTTCAGTTGTGCAAACTATTCTTATTTAAGTATAGAACAAAATCAGTTCCTGTTTATAATTTTATAATTGTGAAACATTTGCTCTGAACATTCAGGAGCATTAATCACTAAAACCCAGTGACTGTATTGGGTTGAAGATATGAAAAAGCTTTATGACTTGAAGTGAGCACGTAGACTGGTGCATTTTCAGGCACTTGAGGGCACTGGAGTACAGCTGTATTAAAACAACCTCTCTATTAAAGGAAGATGTCTACCCCAACCCCAAGCTTTGAATGCTGATTTTTAATTATTTACTCCGTTTAGTATAACGACTTTATTTCCCTAATATAGTGGATGGAAAGCAATGAACTAATTTAGGGAAGATAGAGCATCATACAAACACCTCTGGAAGTCAAGAATAATGGCAGAAGGGGCTGGCTTCTTAAGCACCCCCCCCTTTCTTTTTTACAGTCACAGAGAACAATCCTGGCTGTGTTAGGAAGTTTTGAACAATAAAGGCTTAGGAGGAACCAAAAGAAGCTGAGTAATCAGAATCAAAACCTTGGGCCAGAAGCAGCCTTGGCAGTGCATTGCATATGCATGGGTATTCCTGCCACAGACACTAGGCCCTGCTGAGGAAATTCTATTGAAGAAGGCTTGGTTCCCTGTGAACAGGTGGAGCTTTTGAGCATGAGGGCTCAGGCATCAGGAAAGAATTCATCAGTTTATGGACTGATACCTTAGAGGCTTTGAGAAGTGGATGAGCCAAGCAGTTACAGCTGTCATGCATTGTTTTTAAGAATAGAAAAATAGTACAGCTGCATTAGGAAACAATTTGGCAACTCATAAGTTCAAACCTGTATTTACCACATGACCTGGCAATTTCATGTGGTATTTATTTGCCAAAAAGAAAGGAAGATGTGTTTTCTTAAGGACCTGTATAGGAATAGTTGGGGAACCTTTATTTACAGTCACCAGAAACAAAGTAACTCAAATACCTTGCACCCATGAATGCATAAAACACCTGTGATATAGATGTATAATACAACAGAAGAAATCAGATACATGAAACATGGTTGAATCTCAAAAGCATTGTGTTAAGTGAAAGAAGCTAAGTACAAAAGGCTCCATCTTCTTTGGTACCCTCTCCACAATAAACAGGCACATCAGTAGTTGCCAGGGCCCGTAAGTAGAGGCTGGAGATTGCTGAATAACATTCCATTGTTTGCCTATGTGACAATTTGTTCATCAAGTCGTAATTTTAGCAATTACTATAGATATGAAGTGGTATGGTATGGCTTTAATGTACCTTTCTCTAGCTTAAGCATCTTTTCATATGTCTTTTTTTTTATTAAATTACTTGCTGTGTTGTAGAATTATAAGAGTTCTTTATATTTTCTGAATGAAAATTTTATCAAATATAGACCTTGTTAATATTTTCAGTCAATGGCTTATCATTTTTATATATTTTTATATTTTATAATATGTATATTATACATCTAATATATTTCATATATTTTATATATTCATTTAAAAATAAATATATTACTTGCATATATATTTTTACATATAGCATAAATAAATATACACTGCTTCCTGATAAGAACATTTACTTCCCAAGTACAATTTTAATAATGACAAGAGAAAGTGCATTGATAAATAAAAGTGAAGACAGAGCAAGTGATTAGAGTCTAACATAGTAAGTGCTTACTGTCTGACATACAGACCTTCATCCAGTTTGTCAGGCATCTGGATGAAATAACCTGTTCTCTGCGTGTGTCTGTGTTGGAAGTGTCTCCATCAAAGCTCAAAGATGCCTTTCCATTGACTGCTATATAACCTTCTTTAAGACATTCAGTAGAAGGAAAACTTGAGACCTGAGAATGTATGGCATATGACCCTTTGTGCAAAACCTGTCTAATAAGTTACATGACTATTTTTTTTCATTGTCATCTTTTTTTAATTTGAATTACAAACAAGATTGAATTACATGACAATCCCAGTTCCCTTCTCCCTCCCTTCCTCCCCTACCACCCCCCAACTAAAGACCTTCCCTGTCACATATCCTTTCTTCTAATCTACACCTGACTCAACCTTTCTGCTCCCTCATGACCTCTGCATCCTTCCTTTTCTTCCCTTCTCATTCTCGTAGCTCCTTCCCCCCTCTTCCCATGCTCCCAATTTGCTCAGGAGATGGTGACCCTTTCCCATTCTCCAGGGGACAAAGTTTGTCTCTTTTAGGGTCCTCCTTGTTTACTAGTTTCTCTGGCAGTGTGGATTGTAAGCTGGTAATCCCTTACTCTATGTCTAAAATCCACATATGAGTGAGTACATATCATGTTTATCTTTTTGTGATTGGGTTACCTTGCTCAGAATGGTTTCTTTGAGTTCCATCCATTTTCCTCACATTTCAAGATTCCATTGTTTTTTTTTCTGCTGAGTAGTACTCCATTGTGTAAATGTACTACATTTTCTCTATCCATTCTTCGGTTGAGGGGCATCTAGGCTGCTTCCAGTTTCTGGCTATTACAAATAGTGCTGCTATGAACATCGTTGAACAGATGTCTTTGTTGTATGAATGTGCTTCTTTTGAGTATGTGCCTAGGAGTGGAATTGCTGGATCTTGTGGTAGACTGATCCTATTTTCTTGAGGAGTCGACATACTGATCTCCAAAGTGGTGTTACATGACTCTTAGTTATTCCAAAGAAGTTTCCTTAAGATGGAAGACTAGAAAGTCAAGGAGGGAACTCAAGTTACGTGGACAGGAAGGAAAGAGAGAAGAAAGAAAGGAATGTTTAATGTCTTTTTGAGGGTGGACATAGGAGGAGTTGGGGGCTAAATGTGACCAAGATATACTTATGAAATTCTCAAAGAATTAATAAAAACATCATTAAAAGAAGTCAAGAAGGGGACACAATTCATTGAAGTAAGGGTCACGTCTGGATTGCAGTACCAGTAGGCAATTTGAGTCATGGGGATCAAGACTTGTGCTTTACCATGCAAAACTGCTGGCAGCCAGACTGCATTGCCCAGAGGTGGGGCTGACCCTCGAGGGGTAGCTGGGAATGGCCTGGGTTGACATGTTGGTGAGTCAGGTGTTTGAGTTCTAGTCTGTCACTATGGTGCTGAGGATGTTTGAGCCTTTTCATTTGCTTAGTGGTTTTTGAAGAGCAGGGGGGTTTAAATTTTGCTGAAGTACACATCAACTTTTTTTTTTTTCCTGCTTTGATTGTTACCGTGGGTTTTATGTCTGATTTCAGGAAGAGGGTTTGACAACCTGACCTCTGTTCACCTCGCACGGCACACTCCTACAGGAACACTGGTAACTATAAAAATTACAAACCTGGAAAACTGTACGGAAGAACGTCTGAAAGCTTTACAGGTAATGATAGGAAGGAAGGAAGTGCTGGCTGTAATGTCTATTTGAAGAGGTTTTATCTGTAAGAAATTTTCTGTCTCCAACTGATAGTTCTGTTAGAGAAAGTAGATTTAATAAAATCATGCAGTTACAAGATGGGAAAGAATACATGGAAGTGAGATGCGTTATCTGGTAGTTCAAATATATTCAGAATTTGGTAAAAAACTATGAATTCCTTCAAGTGAATGGCATATCTCAGTGCTACACTGGAAACTGACAATACCCTCGACCAGTCTATTGACAAATAGAGAGAGACAGGAAAACAGGAGTTTATTTTCTATCATGTAGGCAAAACTAACCTCAGAATTGATAAATTTTAATCGTTTTGCAGGCATATAAATTTTTTTTTCTAATAGTTTTTTATACAAAAGAGGAAGTTTTTTTGTTTTGCTGTCATCTCAATTTATAATGGGGGTGAGGAGATGGCTGAGCAAGTGAGGGTGTTTATTCCAAGCCTCATGACCTGAGTTTGATCCTTGGAGCCCACATGATGAAAAGAGAAGACTCCTGCAGGATGCCCTCTGTGTACTGTGTCATGTGCATGCCTTACCCTAATAAATAAATGAATGTAAAAACATTTATTTGTTCAGATCCATACATACAATAGGAGAAGAAGGCCAGGAGAAACTATGCTAGAATATTTACAGTGATTCTCCATGATGTGGTGTTAGCAATGACTTGCCCTGTCCTCAATTCTCTGTGTTTTTAGACATTTGTTCAACAAAAACTAAGGTCTTAGATGTATTCCCTTTGAGGCAGACTAAGTTCACATTCCTCTTTCACAATGTTCTTCTGGACAGGTTTTCTAACATTGTAAAAGCACCTTATAAAACACAAATCACACCGGGCGTTGGTGGTGCATGCCTTTAATCCCAGCACTTGGGAGGCAGAGGCAGGCGAATTTCTTAAGTTTGAGACCAGCCTGGTCTACAAGAGCTAGTTCCAGGACAGCCTCCAAAGCCACAGAGGAACCCTGTCTCGAAAAAACAAAAAAAAAAAACCCAAACCAAAACAACAACAACAAAAAACCCACAAATCACAGTGTCATTTTCTGGAGCAGTTATGAAATTTAGAAGCAAAAGCCAACATGATCCCTTGAGTATTATCCACAACCACTGCTATTGTGAAAGGGAAGGTGACTTTTAAATGTCTTTTCTCTTGTATATTTATCCTAGAAAGCGGTGATTCTGTCTCACTTTTTCCAACACCCCAATATCACAACTTACTGGACAGTTTTCACTGTTGGCAGCTGGCTTTGGGTTATTTCTCCATTTATGGCCTATGGTAAGAAAATGGTCTTAAGTAAAACAACTGATTCTTTACCTGGATGCTATCATTGTAAAAATGAGTGGTGTCTTGTATCTGTCTTTCACTACTTTTAATTTATAAATTTAGTGGCTAATTCTAGATTTCTTACTATATTTCTGCTTCATGTTTTTTTTCAGTTTTAGAATGGAATGGGTATGATGATCCATAAAACCATAACTAATTCTCTAAAGTTCTATGCCTTGGCATATCCTGTCCTCCCTTCAGTTCCCTTGCCTCTTTTAGCAGAGAAGAGATGTAGTTTTGCAAGCACAAGTAATTTCCCCATATAAGCACACCATCTTTCCCTCTGCTTCACTGTACTGTGAGCTGATGCCACTGTACTGTAAACATCCATGTGTGCCCAGCTGTCTTCCTTGTGCTTCTTGAAGGAAGTAGTCATTTATGTTTTCTATTTTGATATCCCTAGGTGCTTAGAGAACACATTGTTCAATAAGAGTGCTGAATCAATAAGTGAATGGATTCTAGAGCTTTGGTCTTTGGAATAGCTCTTGTGAATTACTTCTAGATTTAAAATATGACATATACAATATACATTTTTATTCAGCAATAATGAAAAATACTCTCTTACCTTTTAAAAAGTCACTAAAGGCTGGGCGTTGGTGGAGCACACCTTTAATCCCAGCACTTGGGAGGCAGAGGCGGTTGGATCTCTGTGTGTTCAAGACCAGCCTGGTCTACAACAGCTAGTTCCAAGACAGGCTCCAAAACAATACAGAGAAACCCTGTCTCGAAACCACCCCCCCCCAAAAAAGAAGTCACTAATGCTTGTGGGTGTGAGTGTAGGGGTATGTATGTGAGAGACTATGGTTAATTGAAACCCAGAGCCTTGAGCAGGATAGACAAATACTCTACCTTTGAATTATATTCCCAGCCCCTCCTCCAAAAAAAAAAAAAAAAAAAAAACCAAAAAAACAGGGAGCAAGGGGGTGTGGGATTGTGGGATTAAGGATTAGGATTAAAGATTTCAAGACAGGTCTGGTGGCACAGAACTATAAGCTGCTGGGGTGCTGAGACAGGAGGATCACATGGCAAGGCCTGCCTGAGTGGCAGAATAAGTTCAAGGCCAACCTCAACAGTTTAAGTGAGCTCCTGCCTTAAAATTAAAAATGGATAGAGGGGATGTAGCTCAGTAGTGGTATGCTTACCTAGCATGTGTAAGGTTCTAGATGCAAGCCCCAGTACCACATTGTGTTGGTGATGGTGATTCATGAAGGAAAATTATGTTTGCATGGGAAAATGGCTAGACTCAACAGGTAACATGTGTTTGTCTCCTTATGATTGAAAAAGAATATTTAAAACATTTCAAGTGCGTATCTGAATGTATAAGGGCTTTCTTTCAGGCTCAGCAAGCCAGCTCCTGAGAACCTATTTTCCTGACGGGATGAGTGAAACCTTAATAAGGACCATTCTCTTTGGAGCAGTGCAAGGCTTGAACTACCTGCACCAGAATGGCTGCATCCATAGGTATTTGCTTGTTCACATTCCATACAAATTAAAGAATTTGAATAGAAGCACTCAGGGAGACCTTACGTGAGTTTTAATAGCCCGCTCTGTCTGAGTGGTCTTAGCCCAGCAGAGCATATACAAATTCCCATCCCCTGTGCTCTTCCAGGACCTTGGTTTTCATTGTAGATTAATTTTAGTAGACTTGTTTGCTGCTGTTTCCATCTCCTTAGCATTTGGGGCTGTGCCACTTGTTTTTCAGCAGCATTCTAGCTGAGGATTCCAAACTGACTGTATTCAAATTAAGATCTGTTTCACCTTACCAGATTATTGACTGTGCCACTGTTAGAATCCATAGTAGTGTTTTAGATGGAAAAGTAAAGCTCTTGCTTTAATATGACATATCTTTATAAATGATGTTATCCCAAAGATCCTTCTATTGTATTACATTTAACCTTAAATGATAATGGTATGCTTCAGTGCAACCTAAAATAGCAAAATAAATCATTTGATTTCATTTCTTAAAGAATTCTCCCAATTCTAAACATGTAGCTTTGTGACCCCCTCCCCACACCCCACACCCCACCTTCAACCCCGTTCTGGTACTATATAAAGTATCTAAGGAGTTCCCAGACTCCATAGAAATGTCATGTATTTTAAGTGCATTTTGTATACTGCTGTTTTTTTATAAAAGGTATTTACTTTCCAAGGTAATACAGAGATGTGTTCTCACCAGACTTTTATTCATTCTTCATTGGCCAGATTCCTAGTACTTAGGATTGTTTCTTTTTGTTCTAGGAGTTTTAAAGCCAGCCACATCCTCATTTCTGGTGATGGCCTAGTGACCCTCTCTGGCCTGTCCCATCTGCATAGTTTGGTTAAGCACGGACAGAGGCATAGGGCTGTCTTTGATTTCCCACAGTTCAGCACATCAGTGCAGCCGTGGCTGAGTCCAGAACTACTGAGACAGGTCAGGTGTGGCTGTTGCATTGGGTTGTCTGTGCGTCTCAAATGTCTTTGAGTTTGACTAAAGGACAGTTGTGTCCTTGTTTTTTTTTTGGTGAATGGCTGCCACAAGACCTTTTCTCTCAAAATTGTGTTAGGAATTTTCAATCGTGAAAACATCTTTTAGGTAGACCTTGTTTTTGTATGGGGTTCTTTTTCCATTGTTCACCATCCTTTATCAAGAGGATACCTGCATCCCACCCTTGGTTATTTGTACTGAGGTCTTCAAATTGTGTTTGCAGGATTTACATGGCTATAATGTGAAGTCAGATATTTACAGTGTTGGGATCACAGCATGTGAATTAGCCAGTGGGCAGGTACCTTTCCAGGACATGCACAGGACTCAGGTAATGCTTCTGAACTCCCTGCACCTCACTTTGGTAGCTTTCTTAGGTCTAGATAACTTCCACTGAACATGTTTGTTGTAGACTCTAGAAATTTGCTATCATTTTTGTCTAAATATTTTACCTATAAAGCATATAAGAATGTTTTCCTTTCTCCTAGATGTTATTACAGAAGCTGAAAGGTCCTCCATACAGCCCACTGGATATCAGTATTTTTCCACAGTCAGACTCTAGAATGAGAAATTCCCAGTCAGGAGTAGACTCCGGGATTGGAGAAAGTGTGCTTGTCTCGACTGGAACTCACACAGTCAATAGTGAACGGCTTCACACACCATCCACAAAAACGTTCTCTCCTGCCTTTTTTAGCCTGGTGCAGCTGTGTTTGCAGCAAGATCCTGAGAAAAGGTAATATTGGTCACCTCTAAATAGCATAAAACATACGTGCTTTATATCTTTTGTGAGTTTTGTGATATTACCCTTCCCATAAAATTTACATCTTTTGATCAGAAACTTAAATCTAGAAACTATCAGTACTCAGAAAAAGTCAGTGATAAGCAAGGATGAAGAACACTGAGCTCAAAATCACAGGAGTTGACTTTGTTAGTAGCCATACCAGACCATCCACACCGCCTTCAAATCAGCTGCTCTTGTGTATCTTTGTTAAGGTACTTATAGAAACTTCTAAACAGTATAAAATGGTTTTGAAACTATTATACTAATATAAACTAGGATTTTAAGTACTGATATGCTAGCATTGGCATTTTAGAAATAAGATATGGAATCTTAGCTTTTTTAGAACCTTCATCCTGCCATAGTTCCGTATAAACAGTATGTATACAATAAAAGTTGAGTATAGATTAATTTAAGGGTATGTCTAGAATTATTTCTTCCCATCAGTCAAGGCTATTGTTAGGAATTACTTCTAATCTATGTCCTTTTTTCTTTCTAACTTTTTTGTATTGAGTTTTATAGTTCTAAACCTCATTTTTAATGTAATTATATACCTAAAAAAATCTACATTCTAATATTAAGTTTTGTTTTCTAATAATTTTTTCAAAAATTTCAGGCCATCAGCAAGCAGTTTATTGTCCCATGTATTCTTCAAGCAGGTGAGCTGGTCTGTTGTTTATTGTCTTAAATATTTTAAAATGTTATTTTTAAAAACCATTATTTTGTTGACTTCATAGAGTTCTACTAATAATGTTCCTATAAAATAGAGTTAAAGGAAGAAAGCATTTTTAGTAGTTTAACTTTAGGCTTATTTTATTGTGTGTGTATACTTGTGTGTTATGTTCATGTGTGGTGGGGGCGGTCAGAGGTCAACTTGCAGAAGTTGCTTTCTCATTCCACCATGTGGATCCCAGGGATAGACCACAGGTCTTTAGGTATCGTGGCAAATGCCTTTAGCACCTTTGCCCATTTAGCCATCTGATGGCTCTAATGATAGACTATCTGAAAAATTATTTTTCAAAACCAGATGAGTAAAAACAGCATATCATGTTATATACTCTATTTTCATTAACTTAAAACTGGTGTCTGACTTACCTAGAAATAATGACAGGGCAGAATAATTCAGATTTTAAATTAGTTTATTTAGCTTTTAAGTATTTCTGTTTTCTGATTAACAGAATTGGAGGCATTTATAGAAAAAAAGACCTAAGAATAATTTTAAAGTTTTATAATTTCTTTAAAAGTTATTTATTGCTAATAAAATTTGTGTTGAATCTATATGCCCACATCACTGTTTTAAGTTTCTTTAACAGATGAAAGAAGAAAGCCAAGATTCCATACTCTCACTGTTGCCGCCTGTTTATAACAGGCCGTCAGTGGCAGTGCCACCAGTGTCACCATGGAGTGAGCTGGAATGCGAGTTTCCTGATGACAGAGACCCAGACTGGGAATTCTAGGGTTGCTGAATCATTTCATGTCCTCTATACTTGACAGCTTCTCCATGCTGCTTTTCTTCTGTATTGTTAGGTACAAATGCCAGATCTATACTTGAAAATACAGTTGGTGCACTGGAGATGATCAGTTAAAACCACTCTGTTTGTGGGCGTGGTTTCACCCTCTGCTCAGATCAGAGTACCTTCCTGACTTCAACATCAGAATTAGACAGTTAGTGTCATCCATCTGTTCCCCCCCCCCCCCGACACTTTTTTTTCCTTTTCTTGAAGCTGTGATTGGTGTGTTCTGGATCTCAGTGTAATTATTTGAGCCAGCTAGTTCTCTTCTACATTTTGCTGTCCTCTGGGGAATAAGCCCTTCCTCTGAGGACAGTGATTCCAAGGACATCCTTTCTTCCAGATTCTCTAGCCTTTTTGATTAGCTATTGTTAGATGAACAGGCTGGTTTATTCTGGTACAAAGCCCTTTTTTGGAGAAGGGAAAATGTTTGTACTATCCCTTTTACATATGGTAATATCAAACTGAGCCTTGCTCACATTAAATAATTCACTTAAAATATAAAGAGAAGATGCAATTTGCATTTTAAAAGGGAGAGGGCTAAAGTAACACTTCTACCTGAGTAAATTATAGAGCCTTAAATCATGCACCCTGTGGGAGCGCAATAAAAATTGATTACATTGAACATATCTTTTATTTTGTGTGACTTAACTAAGCTAGAACACAGATTCTAATTTGGTTTGCTTAAGAGAAGGTCTTTTGCAAACAAGTTACATAACCTAAGAAACTAGGTAATCTTGAGTAGATGTTAGGGACAGATGTCATTCTGGCCTTTTTACATGATTATTTATGTAGTTGATGCTGGTATTGCCTCTTTAGCAGGAGATGCTGTGTTTTTTGTTGCTGTGATAAAATTCCATGATCAAAAGTGACTTAAGCATTGCAGAGGGCTCGTTGTCCGTAATGACAAGGCAGGCATGGTGTCAGGAGCAGAGAGCTAAGTGGTCACATGCCATCTACGCACAGGAAGAGAGAGTGAGCTGGAAGTGGGACAAGACTATAAACTCCAGACACCCCAGTAACTACTTCCTCCAGCAAGGCTCACAATAACCTTCCCAAACAGCATCACCAACACCAACTAAGTGTCTAGATACATGAGCCTACTCTCCAGACACCCCCGTAACATCTTCCTCCAGCAAGGCCCACAATAACCTTCCCAAGTAGCATCACCAACACCGACTAAGTGTCTAGATACATGAGCCTACAGGGCACTTTTTCATCCAAACCAGCACACTGTCTCAAAAATGGTTTGTAGTTTAAGTTGTAATAAACTGGGGTCTGTGTCAGTTGGTTTTCTTAATCTAAATGACTATATACATTAGAAGTGACTATATTGCATTGGAAGTTATTGTAAAATGATTACCTAAGACTAAATAGGCAAGCATCTTGAAGCAGTTCGTTTATGTTTGTTGGCTATACCCCTGGATGAATGAATGAATGTTAGGGATATCAATGAATGAGTGAATGTTAGGCAGCCACCAAGTCCTGCTGAGGCAGAAAGTGAAGGTGAGAGAGTGGACAGTGGAGGAGGGAGAGGAGAGGGCCACACAAGTACTGAGAACAGCTGCCATACATGGTGAGAGTTGTAGTTCATCCCACTCAATGCCTTAGCATCTCCCAATCTGGGAAGGTCCTGCATGTGTAACCTGCCAAAAGTGCATGGGGTTGTCACGAAATGTTGCCTGTCAGCAATCCTTCTGTAGGAATTAGAATGTTTATGTGTACATATAAAATGTGATATCCGTACATCTGTAAACATTTAAAGAATTGACTCATAAAATTACAGAGGCTGACAAGCCGAAAGGTCTGCCATGTGAGCTAATAAACAAAAGCTGATAGTGAAGTTCAGAGCCAGACAGGAGGATCTTACTGGGGGAATGTTAGAATTTTTATTGTATGGAAAAATTCAGAGCTTTCCATGGTGAAATCTTTTAGAAACATTGCCAGCAAGTGACAGTGCTGTCATAATTTTAATGAGGTGTAGGAATTTGAGATTGCCTTCTAGGAAATGTATTTTTGCTAAAGCCAGACCTATGGTGTTTCTCTTTAGATCAGTTGCCTGCTACCCCTCATTTTATGTCTTAGCTATCCTCTGCCTCTGCCTCACTGGAACTAAATTCTCATGTATGCCTTGTTCCTCTGGCATCTGGAGCAGAAACAGCTAAAACCTTTTTTGTTGTTTTTAACTGATGGTGGGGAGGCCATTCTCACAGATGAACTCGCTTCTAATACTCTTGGCTGCAGCTGTTTCTTCATTTTCTGATGTCTTTGACTGGTAACACCTCCTCTCTGAATGGTGGAAGCACTGGGTTTTGCTGGCTCTGGGCTTTTCCCACTGTACCTTTTGGCTTCTTAGCCTGGATCCATCACTCAATAAAATAAGTCCCTGTATTCCTTCTTTCGGCCCAGAGAAGTGTAGACTGTTGAATTTGGAAATTTAACTGGAGCTAAGTAAAGTAAAGTTGCTAAGCTCAGACAGCTGCAAATGGAGAACTGGCAAACTGGGTGTGTAGGAGTAACCCAGTACCACAAATGCTGGGGGAATTAAAGATTAGTTCACTCCAAAAGGGAAAGGCTGGGGTGTAAAACTTTGCTAATGAACACCAAATGTATATACATTTTTAAAGTTTGTTCTGGAAGGTTTATAAACAAAACACGTTTACATAGAATGTGTTTATTTTTCATTTTAATCATAACAAAATGGTCTAACAAGATGAAATTTAGTTGCTGACTTGTATCACACACAAAGATAGATCTTCAAACCATTTTGTTAATGGAGAGATTATATTCTGACTGGTGGCCTCACATATCATTCTGCAGTGTCTATCATCCGGATAATATCACAAATGAGCGGACGTTTTTCAATGTTTTCTTTTAATTTTCTTTTGGACCGAATTTTACGTATCTCATACTCTGGGGTGGTGGTATCATGTATATGAACTAAGCCTGCTGAAACCATCCGAGGACTTGCAAATTTCCCGGGGATACTTTCTCTTCGTTTGTTAGGCTCTGGAGCAGTGTACGGTCGTGCACAGTGTTTTACCCGGTTATTGGAATCATCTGGACTCTTGCCTAAAAGTCTTGCTCTTGATTTTGAGTTTTTAGGAGGCTTAACTGGGGGTATTTGTAAATCTTCATATCTATCCAAACAATCCTAAATATTGAAACAAAACATCAAATTGGTAAGTTATGCTTCTTAAAAACACATTTTAAGGTTATAAGAACTAATGTTTGTAGTACCAGGAGTTAAGTGAACGCCTTAGTGTTTTTAGGTAGTCCCAATGCATGCTGTGTACCCAGTGCTTCCCATCAGATATTCCCTTAGAAATCAGGTGGGTTTGTGTTTTATTTTTTTTAATTCTTACCTTTTTAGAGGACTTGCTGCTTCAAAATGGTAAAAAATATGAAACAGAAACCCTGACACACTTTAAGGAGCTGTCCTCTGGGGTCAGACTCAGGCAAAACTAGCCAACCTAGTCTACAGTTCTTATATGCCTAAGTATCTTTCCCATGACCTCAAATATAAATTATAAACTTTGATGTTTTACTTTTATATCATCTAAATTTTTGTCAGTCTCTACAAGTTACTTTAATAACCATCTTTATCAGTGTATGTATGTATATATACATACATATACATACATATACATATAGCATAACATTTAAGAAAATGTAGTATTTGTATGGGGTTGATTATCAGTATATAGTCCAAGATGGCCTCTTACTCTAAAGCTTCCAAGTCTCAGTCTCCAGATGGGTTATTAGGATGTTTACATTAGTAATTTGCCAAGTGTGGTGGCTTAGGCCTGTAGTCCCATCACTCGGTAAAGGAAGGAGGGTTGCCATGAGTTCAAGATTACCAAAGTAACAAGAGGGGGAAAGTAACAGTTTTCTTGGCAGATTTTATGGCTGTATTTTAATATGAAGATCTATATGTACCCCTAAAAGGGTATGGAGCTATTAGCCATGTAACAGTGTTTATTCACATAGTAGTTCACCCCATTTGGGGGAGGGAGCATGGCAGCCACTCACAGGAATGGCTGTTTTGGTGGGAGGTAAGGCAGGAATGGACTAGGTCAATTGTAGGGTCATGAAGGTTAGGTAGGACTAGTAAGAACTTGGATGACTAGAGAGATCCATAAAGGAAATCTGTTCTAAGAGACTAAAAACCAATCCTACTCCCTTGAGTTTTTGCCTGGTTTGGGCATGACAGACTTTTCTTCCTTCCTTCCTTCCTTCCTTCCTTCCTTCCTCCCTCCCTCCCTCTTCCTTTCCTTTCCTTTTTCCTTTCCTTTCTCTTTCCTTTCCTTTCCTTTCCTTTCCTTTTTCCTTTCCTTTCCCTTCCCTTTTCCTTTTCCTTTCCTTTTACCTTTCCTTTTACTTTTCCCTTTCCTTTCCTTTTTCCTTTTTTCCTTTTTCCTTTTTCCTCTTTTTCCTTTTTTCCCTTTTTCCTTCTTTTTCCTTTTCCTTTTTTCCCTTTTCCCTTCTTTTCCCTTTTTTCCCTTTTCCCTTTTTTCCCTTTTCCCTTTTTTCCCCTTTTCCCTTTTCCCTTTTCCCTTTCCTTTTTCCTTTCCTTTCCCCTTTCCTTTCCTTTCCTTTCCTTTCCTTTCCTTTCCTTTCCTTTCCTTTCCTTTCCTTTCCTTTTTCTTTTGTTTTTGAGAAAGAATCTTACACTCTAGCCCATACTAACCTGGAACCCAATGGCTTGGAACTCACTGTGTAGCTTAGGCTCATCTGGCCTTTGGAGTACATGGTGTTTGTTCCCATTCCCAGTGATTCTTTGCCCACACTGATTCTTAAGAGAGGCTCTGCTACATTAGTAATCACTAATGACTTCAGCTCCACAGCTGGTGACCAGGGCATCAGTGAAGGACATGAGAACCACACCACTAGCTCAAAAGAAGTCCTTTCTGTTCCTGGATTTTTAAAAAGGGATCTGCTGCTTCGAAAAGTGAAAAATACACAGAAGCAAAACCCTTAAGGAGCTGTCCTCCCAAGGTCAGGTTCCCACAATAGTTTTTCTCTCTTCTGATTGATTCATCTCAGAAGTTCTTAGATTTTAGAAATAGAAGGGTGTCTTTGTGATCATTTGACAAAAACTCTAGTGCCATTCAATTCTTTTGTCTATCCTAAAAGTTTAGGAACACTTAATCCTAATATAGGGGAATAACTGTAAACTCCTCCCTTGCTCTTACAGAAAGGATTGTGAATGCTGGGGAGATGCAAGCATTAGGACCTGAGTTCATTCTCCAGAATCCACACGGAGGGCGGGGAGTTGGTGGGGAACATGGGAGGATGGGAGAGGGAGGGAATGGGGGAATGGATATGTAAATATGAGTAGCAATTAAAGAATAAAAAAATTATGAAAAAAAAAGAAAAGAGGATGGTCTAGGCCCTGCCCAGGATGATATGACAGATTTTGGGGATCCCTCAGGGAGAGTAAGGCCCTCCCTGGGGAGCAGAGGGGGGATAGGATGGGGAGTTGGTGGGGGTGTGGGAGGAGGGGAGGAAGAGGGAGAAGGGATTGACATGTGAAGCAGGCTTGTTTCTAATTTGAACTAATAAAAAATTTCTTGGTAAAGAAAATAAAAATATAAAGCCCCCCTCCAAAAAATATACCTGGGCATGGTAGTAAGCTCTTGGAATCCCAGGGCTGGGAGAGGGGGGTGGGGATAAGAGGCTTCCTGAAGTTGGCTAATCAGCCAGCCAACCAACACGAATTGTCAAGTTCCAGTCCATTGGGAGACCCTGTCTCAAACCAAACCAAAAGACAGACAAAAAGTGGATAGCACTAAGAAGCAACAGTCAGGATTGACTTCTGGCCTCCACAACATATGCTTACGCACCTATACACACACACACACACACACACACACACAGCGTTATGAGATCACATATGCTTTTATACCATTTGACATGAACACAGTTTCTTCATTCGGAAAAAAAAATGTCTAAAGGAACTTGATAGTTTTTGTTTCTTCAGAACTAAAACAATCTGTTCCTTTTAATATGCATATGCCTATGTGTATACACATATACTAACTCAATACTAAATTACTATATGTAAATAGAAAAATTTAAAATTAAGAGTATAAGCTCTTATCCTATTACTACAAAGCTGTTAGAGTATTTATGCTACATGTAATATAGAGCTGTCTGTCCTGCCACTATAAAGTTAATAGCTTGCTTTACTGTATAAAACAATCTCAAAGTTAACTATTCTGAAATTATATATATTTTCCCCTTCAAAGGCAGACTTATGCACATCAAGTTACTGTTCTAAGAT